TCTGAGAAGGACAGCAGTATTTGCAGCCCCTCTGGGGACAAGGATCGGGTAGCAAGTGCGGACGGCCTGGCGTGATATTAGGACTAATTACAAAAGCAGCGTAGTATTGATTCAGCTCTGGGAAAGTCCAGCTTCTCTCATCCAGTTAAAGCCCCTAATAGCGTTTCCATTCCTTCCCTTGGGGCAAAAGAGAGATAAACAAAGAGGGCAAGAGGGAACATATCCCTGCCCTTGAGTTTTTGTGAAGTGAAGAGGAAAGAGCTAGAGGAATCTCAGCTGTGCCGGTTCCCCTCTCTGGACAACAGGGAAATGAGGACATGGGCTACATTGGGAGTGGTAGGTTTCACATTTTTCTCTCTGGAGGCTCTCTAGGGATTTGAAGTTTCCTTGAGGAGCTCTTATTGACTGTATGATATTATAATGTAGAGTTCATTATGCCTTTGCCTTGGAGCAACAGACATTCCTGGTCTCACCCCTGCTGAAGGACAGTTTTATTGCTGTTCATCATTTTGGGGATCATAACGTTTTCTCTGTAGCCATACTCACTCTAAATGTGTTGTCCAGATCATTTTAGGTAATTATATTTCTGACAAACTGTGTGAGTTTTAATGATGATTGCTTGACATATGCAGGCAGTGTCTGGAAATGGCAGCCAATGAAAGGAGATGTTAACAAAATGCTTAATATTTTCCGCCTACTCCTGAAATTCTGTCCTCCTGGCCACTGAGAAATGAGATGGACTTAAATCGATGTTGAATATTTTCGAGCTCACCCTTCCCCACCACCCTCCTCACCCTACAAACCACATTCATCCAACACTCTCACACATTTGTCTTCCTGAGTTAGAGAAAAAATAATGACACAATGGAAAGATTATTTCTGTTCAGAAAGCCCCCGGCAGAGGCAGACGTGGCTGGGTAAGCATGGGCCCAGGAGGAGCCTCCTTCACAGCCCTTGCTCTTGGGTGTTAACTGTTGCTCAGGAAAGCATGTCTCTAACTCTGTGTGTGTGTGTGTGTGTGTGTGTGCACGCCCCGCAGTCACGGAGGAGTGGCAGAGGACCGGAGGGCAGCCCTGGCAGCTCATTGAACCCGTGGATGGATTCCACCCTAGTGAGGTAAGTGCAGTCACACGATGGTTGCTGAGGGCAGTCTGTTACATTATCTTTGTAATATAATTATGCACCCATGCATTCATTTTTATCCTATTTTATTCCAGAAAGAATTTGAGGTGATGTGCACACATGTGTAAGATAGAAGGTAAATAAATATAAATTAAATTGATAAAATATAAATAAAATAATAAAGTGAAAATCAGAGTAAAAAGGAAATAAGGTAGAAATGATACCTGAATTCCTGACTTAATGTCTACAACTCACAATGTGTCCCAGGAAGTCCTAAGAAACTGCCTGCAAGGGCCCACAAAATCAGCTCCACGATTCCTACGCGGCTGATGCAAAGAAGGGCAAAAGTCATAGCCTTAAGAAGATAAAAAATAAATTAAGTACTCAAAAAAAAAAAAAAATCAGAAGGACTCCTGGAAGTGAGCCCTGTGAGAAATTTCTTCTATGGATTCTTCTAGAAAAAAAGGAGAACCATACGAGAGAACAGTGTCCTTAGCAATATCCTGCAGTAAGAGCTGTTTCTCATTTAGGATTCCGAGGAACAATCTGGAAAGTAGTTCTACTCTGGCCTGTTCACAGAGCAAGGGGAGCTAGACGGTAGGATTCTGTCCCCTCTCTCCCCCGTCCATTGTCCTGGCTGCAGCCAGGGAAGTTCCACTTTTATCTGTTCTAAATACTGGACCTGCTCATGATATTTCTTTGTATAAAAAATAGAAAAAGAAGCGGCGGGGGTGGGCCATTTACCCACAGGCAATCCTCTGTGGCTATTGTCTTTCTGATGCGGCCTTTGTGGCATTGACAAGGGTCCAAACGTGAGAAGCACTCCTTGTAGCCTTGATCTCCATGGTCAGCCAGGCCACAGGGAGGGCTGATCATCCCCTAAGAAGCCTGAAAGGAATCATAGTCCTCCCTCCCCTTGAGCTCTAGGTGCCATGAGTACCCACGGGCAGGGCTAAGAACTGTCTCAAAAGAAAAGGAAGAGGGACTTCCCTGGTGGTGCAGAGGTTAAGAATCCGCCTGCTGATGCAGGGGACACGGGTTCGAGCCCTGGTCCAGGAAGATCCCACATGTCGCGGAGCAACTAAGCCTGCGAGCCACAGCTACTGAGCCCACGTGCCACAACTACTGAAGCCCGAGCACCTAGAGCCCATGCTCCGCAACAAGAGAAGCCACCGCAATGAAGAGTAGTCCCCGCTCGCCACAACTAGAGAAAGCCCACATGCAGCAATGAAGACCCAATGCAGCCAAAAATAAAAATTAATTAATTAATTAACTAAAAAGAAAAGGAAGAGTGCCAGTCCATGATCAGATGGATGGACAGTAGAGTCTCAGAGATGCTGGGTAAATTTTAAAGTGAGTATTAAATGTGCATCTTACTGTGTTAAGTAACAACAACCCAAACAATCTAAGTAATGCGCCTCAGGATATCTGTTCCCTGTGTATCACTTGGATGGGTTGATCCAAGAGAATTATTGGCTAGAAGTTGGTTAAATATTAGAGTTTGCCCCCCCCACCAAAAAAAAAATGATGTCTTTGGTTTTAGAATAGTTAATGTGGAGACCTGCTTTCTGGCAATAATTAGGTAGTAGTTCTTGTCATTCTTTGGACATTACAGAATTTTATCCTTCTGATTCTATAGAGAATGGGGACAAGAGGAGACGGTCAGAGAGGGAGCAATGAGGAACAAACTAAAAAGAAGAGGGTCAAAGACAGCTTTGTTGTATCCCTCGGGACATATTTGTCTGATCTATCAAAAGACAGTTCTGTTCCTGACTCTTAAAATAGTATTAGGGTTCAAGGTCTGTCAAATCGGGGCTCTTTCTTGCACTCAAACAGCTTCGCCGTTAACTGATTGTTGAGAACAGAGTCAAAAGCTGAGGGGCTTCCCTGGTGGCACAGTGGTTGAGAGTCCACCTGCCGATGCAGGGGACACGGGTTCGTGCCCCGGTCTGGGAAGATCCCATATGCCGCGGAGCGGCTGGGCCCGTGAGCCATGGCCGCTGAGCCTGCACGTCTGGAGCCTGTGCTCCGCAACGGGAGAGGCCACAACAGTGAGAGGCCCGCGTACCG